GGAAGCCATTTAAAGTATCCTGTCACTATTGCTGTAAACAATCAAATTATCAAATATATCAAATTGCTGGTCTAGATATGGCTGACATTTTTATGAACAATGCATAACTTAATTTTGAGAGGCTGTCAAAATTGTCTCAAAGATGTTTGGATGTATGATTTACTTACTAAGTTTTGGTAAGAGTCTATGTTTTTGTTAAAAACTTTCATCTACGATAATCAGCTTGCACTGGGAGTGTGCAAGAAGCTTAAGTGTTTAACCTGCGCCACATTTAATGTAAAACAGGTCAGGGGTGTGTCAGTCTGTGGTGGAAGCAAAAGTGAAGGATTAAAGAGGAGTCTGGATCCAAGCAGGAAGAAGAAAAGAAGCATAAATCATAAATTTAACAGCTAAAATCCAGTTGCTAATCATGTTTATTCAATGAGAACAAAATGTCAAGAAATATAATAACCTTCCACAAGATTAGAATATAAGAGACAGGAGTCTTATTTGCACAGTCTCTTTCATTCGTCTCACAGCATATCAATATTACACCAGAGAAATAAGACTTTATATCTGGAATATGTCTCATGTCTGAGATGGATGAGGAACAAAGAGGATGTTGTGTCTACAGAATCCTTTTTGTGTTGATGCAGGCCATTTGTTTTAGATCATAGTCCTGTTGGAAAACCTAACGATGAAACATTTTCAGTTTTCTGGATAAACATGAAATTAGACTTTATTGTCCATTCAGGTTTTTCCCAACACAAACAAATGTGTTGTACCTTTAAATCCTTTTAATGCATTTCTAATGCTGTGTTTTCCAACATGTTTTAAGGACAGTTTGTAATTCTTAGAATATTTTTGATTGGCAAAAAAAAAAAAAAAAGAAAATCACAGAAAAGGGTAAAAACGTTTCCACCAAACTTTTATTCACAAATTCTGGAATACTTTTGGCTGCTGAAAAAAATGAATGAAACTTACATATGAAGATACTCATTAGATATGTGAATTTGACTTCTATTGGAAATATTTTTTGTTTTAGTGAGTATAATTTCTAAAGAATTACAGAAGAACAACAGAGCTGACGTTCCAGACCCATGTCTTCTTAGTTCCCTAAATTTTCACAACAGAAGTGAGTTATTGATCAGAGATCACATCGTGGATCACCTGCATCAAAGAGCTTCTGGATTTAATCCTGCTCTGGCCACTGAGAAAATGCTGCTTTTTGTAGAGTATGTTTCCCTCTACAGGACAAACCAGGAAGATGTAATGAAATTACCCCCGTACAGGTCCCTTTTTTTTTTTTTAAAAGAAGAAACAATTAACATAAAATACCACTTTATTGAATGATAGCTAGAAAATGCAAACACTGGTTAATAGTAAACATTTGAGTAAATACTTGGCAGGTAAAGGTGTTCACTTGCTGAAATGATGAATATATATATATATATATATATATATATATAATATATATATATATATATATATATAAAAATTCCCTTCTCACCCACCGCGGGTGGTTCTTATCCTCTGAGCTCGGGTCCTCTACCAGAGGCCTGGGAGCTTGAGGGTTCTGCGCAGTATCTTGGCTGTGCCAAGGACTGCACATTTCTGGACTGAGATGTCTGATGTTGTTCCTGGGATCTGTTGTAGCCACTGCTCCAGTTTGGGGGTTACTGCCCCGAGGGCCCCGATGACCACAGGCACCACTGTGGTCTTCACCTTCCAGGCCCTCTCCAGTTCTTCCCTGAGGCCCTGGTATTTGTCCAGTTTCTCGTGCTCCTTTTTCCTGATGTTGCAATCACTTGGTATTGCTACATCAACCACAACGGCTTTCCTCTGATGTTTATCCACTACCACAATGTCTGGTTGGTTCGCCATTACCATTTTGTCTGTCTGGATCTGGAAGTCCCACAGGATCTTAGCTCTGGCGTTCTCCACCACCTTTGGGGGTGTTTCCCACTTTGATCTTGGGGTTTCCAGTCCATATTCTGCACAGATGTTTCTGTACACTATGCCTGCCACTTGGTTATGTCGCTCCATGTACGCTTTCCCTGCAAGTATCTTGCACCCTGCTATGATGTGCTGGACTGTCTCAGGGGCCTCCTTGCACAACCTACACCTTGGGTCTTGTCTGGTGTGGTAGATCTGGGCCTCTATTGCTCTGGTGTTTAGGGCCTGTTCCTGGGCGGCCAGGATGAGGGCCTCTGTGCTGTCCTTGAGTCCAGCTTTTTCCAGCCATTGGTAGGATTTACTGATATCAGCCACTTGGGTTATTTGCTGGTGGTACATCCCATGTAGGGGTTTGTCCTCCCATGATGGTATCTCTGGCACCTCAACCTCCGTTCCCTGTTGTCTGAGACATTCACTGAGCACATTGTCTGTTGAGGCTTTGTCCCTGATGTATTTATGGATCTTAGTTGTTTCGTCCTGGACAGTGGTTCTCACACTCACTAGTCCTCTGCCTCCTTCCTTGCGGCTCGTGTACAGTCTCAGGGTGCTGGATTTGGGATGGAACCCTCCATGCATTGTTAGTAGCTTTCTGGTCTTAATATCTGTGGCTTTTATCTCCTCCTTGGCCAGCTAATTATTCCAGCAGGGTATCTGATTACTGGCAGGGCATAGCTGTTTATCGCACGGATTTTGTTCTTGCCATTGAGCTGGCTTCTCAGGACTTGCCTTATTCGTTGGAGGTATTTAGCTGTGGCTCCTTTCCTTGTGACCTCATCGAGGTTGCCATTGCTTGTGGTATACCTAGGTACTTGTAACTGTCCTCTATGTCTGCTATTGTTCCTTCTGGGAGTGAGACTCCTTCTGTGTGGATCACCTTCCCCCTCTTTGTGATCAGCCGACCACACTTCTCTAGTCCGAATGACATCCCAATGTCAGTGCTGTAGATCCTGGTGGTGTGGATCAGTGAGTCGATGTCTCGCTCACACTTGGCGTACAGCTTGATGTCATCCATGTAGAGTAGGTGACTGATATTGGCCCCATTTTGAGTCTGTATCCGTAGCCAGTCTTGTTGATAACTTGGCTGAGGGGGTTCAGGCCTATGCAGAACAGTAGCGGGGACAGAGCATCTCCTTGGTATATGCCACATTTGATGGACACTTGTGCAAGTGGTTTGCAGTTGGCTTCAAGCGTGGTTTTCCACAGCCTCATCGAGTTTGCAATGAAGGCTCTCAGAGTCCTGTTGATGTTTACATCTCTAAGCATTCAATGATCCAAGTATGCGGCATTGAGTCATAGGCTTTCTTGTAATCAATCCAAGCCATGCACAGGTTGGTGTGTCGGGTTTTGCAGTCTCGGGCAACTGTGCGGTCTACGAGGAGTTGGTGTTTGGCTCCTCTGCTATTTACACCGATACCCTTCTGTGCCGTGCTCATGTGTTTATCCATGTGTTTGCTTATCTTGGCCGCTATGATGCCTGACATGAGCTTCCAGGTTGTGGAGAGGCAGGTTATTGGTCGGTAGTTGGGTGGGACTGGACCCTTTGATGGATCCTTCTGGATTAGGATTGTCCGCCCTTCAGTTAACCATTCAGGGTGAGTCCCACTTTGTAGCAGCTGGTTCATTTGGGCTGCCATTCGCTCATGGAGAGCAGTGAGTTTCTTTAGCCAGTAGGCATGGATCATGTCAGGCCCTGGTGCTGTCCAGTTTTTCATACCTGAGACTCTTTCTTGGACATCTGTCACAGTGATGGTTACCGGGGCTTGCTCAGGGAGGTTGCTGTGGTCCTCTCGTAGAGAGATCAGCCACTGTGCATTGCTGTTGTGGGACGCCTCCCTTTCCCATATGCCTTTCCAGTATTGTTCCGTCTCCAGCCTTGGTGGGTCTGCTCTGTTGTTATTGTTACCCTGCCATTGAGAGTACACCTTAGCTGGTTGAGTGGAGAAGAGCCGGTTAATCCTTCTGGATTCATTCTCCCTTGTGTATCTCTTTAGGCGGCTGGCCAAGGCTTGGAGCCTCTGTTTAGCACTTTCAAGTGCTTCAGGTATGGGCATCTGCCTGTACTTTCTGGGTACTGGTCTTTTCATTGCACCCTTGTGGAGCTCTGACAGTTGGCTCACTTCCCTCCTTGTTACCTTGATTTTAGCCTCTAACCGTCTTTTCCATGGTGGGTATTGGGTCTCATGGTTGCTCTTATAGCCAAGTATCTCAAGGATCACTGATGCTGAGTTGTAGATCAGCTCATTGGTTTCTGTTATGGTGTTGGTAGGGATCGTTCTCAATGCTGCATTCACATTCTCAATGAGACTTTCTGATGGTACTTCACTCAGCCGTTGTAATTGGCGCCGGGGAGGCCTGGTTGTCATTCGGGTCATGATTCTCTCTCTCAGGTCAGCAGCTGTCTCGTTCAGCTCTGTTTCGCTCATTGGGGCCGTGTATCCCCTCACTGGGTGGGGACTTGTAGTTAAGTCCCCACAGTCCTGACATCCGGGTTCCTCCCTTTTGCCGTAGCATTTGTGTTGTATCTCGTCAATCTCAAGTTGTGATAGCAGTTGCCGTTTGCGGATGTTGGAACACTGAGCTACTAGTTGTTTAGCGCTTAGTGTTGACTGGGGATGTCGAAGTAACCATTCCTTCCCAGTCTTTGCATGTAACCTCTCTCACTAGGGTTACTTGAGTAGTAGCATTCCAACAGATCCACATTTTCATCTCTCGCCCATTTCCGTCTTGTTCCAGTAGCCCATTTGTCATCAAGGTGCTCTGGTTCCCCAACACCTGACGCAGACCTTGTTTGGCCGGGCGACGTCTGAGCCGGCATGTTATGCAACTTAGTATCTCTCATGGTATGAGGTAGGCAGTAGCTTGAAGGGTCTTGCCTAAGGACCCAGACTGGATTCGAACCCTGCCCTCTCGGGTGATATACTGATGCCTTATGTATTGAGCTATCCAGTCATATATATATATATATATATATATATATATATATATATATATATATATATATATATATATATATATATGTATATGTATATAGATATATATATATATATATATATATATATATATATATATATATATATCTAACACTTGTTTTGATTCTGTAACTTTTTCTGAAAATACTGTCAGACACGACTTGACTGTGAAGAATTGCTTCTCCGATGGGAGAAGATCTTCTTGCTGACTCGGCGGGCGAGTCGGTCGACAGTGGAGTTGAGATGTGTGAGCTCCTCCTTGGGGGGCAGGCCCTGGATGTTCCCACTGTACCACAGCACCCATCCAGCCAGAGACGCAACTATGAAAAGGACTCCTGAATAAATGTTATACAGAAACATATGTTGAAAATTCTTAACAGCACAAATCAATTGGCATAATAAGTTTTGGATCAGATTTTAGCACAACTTTTAAACTGATAAAGAAACAAGAAAAACATTTGGGTTCAGAGGAAAATACCTCCAAGTTTTATACCAAAAATATTCCATCCTAAACATTCAGACTACACACATTTAAAGCACAGTTCTCATACAGTCGCTGTGCAGGGGAACTGCACCAAATTAATTTTTTTTACAGTTGACATTGTAAAAATTAAACAAAACTGTCAGTTCTTGGGTTTTGCAAATCCAGATATAATCTAACACAAAAACTTCCTCATCAGGCAAATTGGTTTATCTATTTTGTATATGAATCGTTTACCAACAATGGCAATGAAACTGCTTTCTGTATTTAATAAGATTCTCTTTTTCCAATAATTTCTTGCTAGTGTTTTGGTAATTTGATTACATTAAATTGCCATAAAATACAGCAAAAACATGTCAGCATTAAAATAAAAAACAAATTTAGATAAATACCGCTATAAACCAAGATGTCTCCGCATTCTTCTCCATTTAACTTCAAAGAGGCAAAGACTCCCATCAGCAGAGAGACTCCACCCAGCAGGTCCATCAGCACAGCGATCACCAACGCCACCTTGCAGTGAGACAGGTCATCACAAAGACCCATGGTGAGGCTGCAAAAGAGGAATAGGATGTAACATTTTATTAGTAAAAATATCAACATTAACCAAAGCAATTAGAGCTTCAAAAACACATAAAATCCAACATACTCGCATTTCTTTTTGAGTGGAAATGTCCCACTATAATGGTAATCATGTGTATAGATGAAATTACTTTTTTCTGTTACGACTATTTTATCTTCTAGAATCTTGATGTACTTGTTATTTTCTCCCATAATAAATCAGATGTATTCACAGTGCTAATATCCTTTTTAACTGTTACATACATAATCTGAATCTAACAGGATCGTAAAGAAATAATAAAAAAGATAAAATAATTTATTTTAAAACAAGGGAACTATCATTTAGTGGGATGCTAAATGAGATTGAAACAGATCTGGAGAACAACTTTAGTGCAGGAAACTGGAAAGATTTGATGTTTTGGTTTTTGTTTTGTTTTTTTTTTTTTTTTTGGTGTTTTAAACTGTTTTATAGATTTTTTTTTTTATCCTGCTCACATTGATAAGCTCTTTAATATTTTAGCTTTATGATTTGCGGTCATGCAAATATTTATCCAAAGCTCGCTGAGAACAAGCTGACTGGTAAATACATGTGCATATGTGTAATATAAAAACTTTGTTCAATGCATTAACAGATGATAACACCCACTGGATAGATGATTAAATGACTAACTGCAGCATGAATAGATAATGTACCACCGCAACATATTTGAGATAACATTTCAGACAAGACTGTTACTTGAGAGAAGAATTCAACTTTTTTCACGTTGACGTCCTAAAAATCACAGAAAGCAGATATTTTAAAGTTCAAGTAAGATGAATTCAACACAAGTCTTTAAACTGCCTTACTTGTTCTTTCGACTCGTGGCGATGAAAACGGCTCGGAAAGAGAGTTTAGTTTGAACTTTTCTCTTCTGTTTCTGTACTTCCGTGTTTCCTGGCTTCACTTTCCTCTGCTACCTGAGCCCCTCCCTTCAGGTGAGACGTTTCATCGGGCGGGTTCGCCGCGTTCACTGACAAAATCGGAATTTTGGCCTTTCACATTTGTAGAAGGCGACACAAACTTTACCATAAGCCAAAATACAAAGACTTGTCACCACAAACTCATTTTGCATCGTTATCTAAATTAAAGAAGAAGAGGACCTTCGTTTTATTTTTTTGTGCTTTTTTTAAAGCCCATTTTTTTTAAATAACAAACTCCTTTTGGGAGATTTTTTTTTTCAAATAATTTATTTATTTAATAAAAAGAGGAGCACACTGTTTTCTTAATCCAAACAAATCCGAAAACCATCAAAACAAATGTTTTCTTGAAACTTTTATATAATATTGCTATATGTGTACACAGATGGAAACCTAAGATTTTTTATCTGCGATGCACATTCAGTAATTATCATCCTTTCAGTAATAAAGCAATGAATAAAAACGTGTTTTTTTTTTTTTATTTTTTTTTTTTTTTTTTTTTGGTTAAGAGTTTGCAACAATTCGGCGGAAGTTTATTTTTGGAAAAATGTTGGAAAAGGAACTTCATCCATTTAGCATGCCGAGTTTTTTTCATGTGTGTAATGTAACTGGAACGTGCTCTGCGCATGTGTGAGCTGATCCAAACTGAGCGCGGTCCACCTGTGGAGGCTGAGTATAATCAGGTAATTGCTGCTGCAGGTCGGGATTCTGCTCTGCGGCTGATGTGACGCCGTTCCAGGCTGTATTACAGAAGTATAACCGCGAACAAGACGCCTGGAAATAAACTGTAACAAGTTACTGCGGACATCTGCCTTGTTATTGAGTCACTTCATCATTGCCTGTCAAGCTCAGCTGTCATGAATCCCGCAACCAGCAGGCACGATACAAACACGCCAGGTAACAGCAACTCTTGGTCGCGTCCACCCGAATCTTTAAATATCCCAACTCCTTTGCTGTGAGCAATTTTGATCTTTCTTTGTCAGTTAATATCCATTTTGTTGACTACTACGGTTCCTATATTGTGACAAATCATGTTTTCTATGTAATAACTGTTTCAATTGACTTTGTCAGCTACTCTCGCGTGATTTCGTTTGTCTTGTTTTTTGTTTTTCCTTGTGCAGTGAAACAGCAGTTAAGACAGTTTTTAAGCTGCGACACTTCTGTAATGAATTGGGTATTTATATTCAGATAGAATCACCAAATATGATTTTATGCAATCATGTGAAGTAGCTACTGGTCCTGGAGATTCTGCCTATTCTATACACTCTCAGAGATTTTGATTTATTTGTGTTCTTTGCGTAGTAAAGCTGCAGTTTTAATACTTGTATAATTTGGGGGGAAATACCAGCAAATAATTTACAACAGTCTTGAAGTCTGACATGCACTTTTCCGATGTGCCATTGAAAGAAAAAGTAACAGAAAGATTCAAATAGGAAAATGAAAAGTTTCTCTTTGAACCCTAACCCCAGTATCCAGGATGGCCACCATGCTAATAAAAGAGTGATAACTGGATTTAAATACAGCTGCAGGACTATTTAATAAGATGATTTTAAAGGAAAGTCAAGCTGGTTTCAATACAATTCTATAAAAATGAGAAAAATTTTATGACATTTCCACTGATTTGTTTTAGCAAAGACCTGTAGCACTTGATCTTTTTCTACTGTATCGATGATGTGTCTCTCAACTTCTCCAACCAAATATGTCACCTATTTTTCCAAATGTGACCTTCCCATATATCAGAGCGCTACACCCCCCAGGCTTCGTCTTCTTCATCAGGAGCAGGAGGAAGTGAACAAACAGGAGGTTTGTATCTAAATGCCTATGAAGTCTCGTTTCCCCTTGAAGAGAGTGTGGAGCGCCCAGCTGCCTACCACCTGAACCACGGTCAGCAGATGATTGAAGGTAAGTCACATTATGAGAACTACATTTATTATGTATCGGTAAATGGGAAAAATAAAAGATTCAACTCTGAAGAACAACTTTACAAAAGGATGGAATATTTATCAATTTGCCAGGTTACAACCACAAACGTCACTTGATTTAATGTGATACACATATTAGTGTACAAGTGTGAAGTAAAACAAAATTGTGATTCCACTACATCAGTGGTCTTTAGAAAACAAACAAACAAAAAACTGAGCAGTTCTGTTGAAGCGCAGAAACTATGACTTCATGTCTCTTATTATTAAAATAATAAATTGATATTGTTAAATAACAATATCAAACCATGTATACATTATCCAGTCCTTTGTATTTTCCTTTGCTTTTCCCTGCAAGTTGTTTATATATTTATTTCCTCTGCTTTGAAATCAGAGCCGGTGGTACAGGAGTCCCTTCACTCCCAGTACAGCCCTTTCATCCTGATTTCTAACCTGCGGGCTCACCTCTACGTCTCTCTGGAGAAGAATGCCTGGCTGCAGAAACGCATTGAAGAGCTGGAAGAGGAGCGAAACTTCCTGCGCTGTCAGCTGGACCGCTTCATCGTCAGCATGAGGAGTCCAGATGGTGAGGGTGGCCGGTTTACAAAAAATTTTTAAAATGTTACACTTTTCAGCTAATTTTTCTGTGTTACAATTGTTGTTGAATTCAGTGGCAGACTGGAGTGGAGACGCCCAGCGTACTGTGAAAGTCCAGCCTGCCAGCTCTCCATCTCCTCCTTCCCCGATGACCACCAGGTCGGGGATGGCCCTCAAACGCCTCCAGGGCCCCGGAACTCGGATCCGCCGCAACATCGCTGTCCCTGGTGAAGAGCGTCACAAAAAGAAGTTTTAAAGTCCAAGGAAAGGCACTTCATTTTCTATTTTTATTATGTATTGCATTTTATGTTCTCAGTCAAGCAGGAGTTTCATCTTGAAGAAGACAAATATTACACAGAGGAAGAGTATGTTGAGGAAGAGGGGGAAGAAGAGGTGGAGGATGAGGAAGACTCGGCTGTGGAGAGCGGGTCAAAGAAGAAGAGCCGAGGGCGTAGCAGCGGCGAGCCGAGGATGAAGATGAGGAGGATCTTCAGGATCACACATGGGAGGGAGAGGCAAAGAGGTAAAAACAGATCAAGCAGAACTGATAGCAGAAAGAAACATAAAACTGATGTCAAGTTGTTAATGAGTAATCTGTCCATTCTATAAAAAAGTTGGTGTAGTTTATACTTTTTCAATGCTTTCCAAGCTTAGCCCTCATTTGCATTTCATTCCTTTTTAACTCAATTATTTGACCTATTCTAAAAATGCACATGTGATATCTAACACTGTTAGACATTTATCTCACATTCCACCTGCTTTTTACCTTCTGCTGTCCAGTTAAAGACCCAGATGGGGTTCTGATTCGTTATAAGAAGATCCTGTCCACATACCAGCGGGTGAGGAGCATGTCCAAAGCCTTCCAGATCCACGGAGTCGACCGAAACACAATGGCCTCCACCTCCCCGATTGCTGAGCTCCTGCTTGTGGCCCCAGAAAAGGTGTTACTGTCACTTTTATGACTCGAGCAGCAGGCACACCTAAATATTTTACATTAATCAAAAATTCTCCGGGTTCTCTGAAGGCTTTTAGTTGGATTTTGAATGCTTTAAAATATCCAGTATTTGAATGGACTTTATTTTCGGTTTTAACATTTTTAACATTGTTTAAATAAATGATGAAGAAAATAACCTATAACGTTCACAAATTCAGGAATAACAATGCCAGCAATTCACATGAAATAAAATGTTTTTTATAGGTTTGTATATGAGCTCATCAGAAACTACAAGAAGTTATCAGTATCTTTATGGAAGATAAAAACATTCATGCCAGATGGGCTCTCTGCTTTCAATTGATTTAGGACATAGACTGTCCTTGTTTGGTAATTTTCCTGCTGAATTTCTACCACTGCTATAGATTTACGCCTTGGTGAAGACTTAAGCTTTTCTCCTGCAGGTGACTGATGTAGGAGAGTTTGAAGCCTCCAAGGAGAAGCTTCTTGATTATGCCAGGCGATGCTACAAGACTATGGATGAGGAGACACACGCTAAGGTCCAGAACATGAAGAAGACCAACAAGCTGCTCCCTATCTCCTACAGGTTCAGAAACTGAGGAAGGAAAGTCCTGTTGGAAATATATATATCTTCTTTGCCTTAAAAATAAGTTATGTAAAGTATATTGGCTACTAGCCAATATACAATATTTGTATATTTTGTCTACATATAAGCGATCCATTTGATGAGTTTTTTTTTTTTCACATGTTGGGCAGATTTTACTTTCAATGGATTTTTTTTCCTTTTTTATCTGCAATAATTTAAATATAAGACACAGTAATCTTCACTGTCTGAGCTGTTTTGTTCTTGTATTATTGTTTTTGTTTGTACATTAACTGAATATCTATATTAACTTAATAGAATATAACAGAATGCCCCTAAATATATTTTGTTTTTAAGGGGAAATTTTTAATTTTACTCAATGGTTACTGCATGACATCTACATACCAAACTCTGGAAGTTTGATTTCTATTAGACAAACTTTTTTTTTCACTTTTTCACTTTTTTCACTTTGTCTTTTGCACTCTGAAAAATAAATGTTAGATCACATAGTTTGTTGGTTTTCCTGTCTTAATTTAAAACAAGTTGTCAGTTTTTATGCTTCAGACATTTTTTTAAACTTTTTTTTGTCAGGCTAAACAATAGGTAAATTTCAGGCATTTCTTACATACAACAGACACTTGTCTGAATGTCCCCCTGAATAAAGGTGAACGTCATAATATTAATTTGTTTTACCAGCAGCCAGTCAACAGAAAAACAATGGTGTCCTTTTAGGATTAAAGCAACTGACAAACATCTGCGCCCTCTAGTGTATTACAGGAGTACTGCTCATTAGGAGAGCCAAAAAATGCTCTCCTAATAAAATGAATCACACCAGACATATTGTTTATAAAATTACAAATTTGAACTCAACTTCTAATTTATTGCATTTTAACAGTTTAAATCTCTATGAAGCATACTCTAAACTTTTTGCTCTGAATTTTATACAGTAATCTAATTTTGCAAAACTTCCATGAAAGAAGGAACTCTGTCATGAATAGGACATGTGGTTTTGTAACAAGAAATTGGATTTACAACCAGAAAACTAAAATAAAAATAAATACAGAAAAAGGGGAAAAATGTTCCAAAAGACTTCAATAATCAGCTATGAACTGTGGATGATTTAATGATATATTGATGGATCCTTAGTGTGTCCAGGGAAATGATGCCGGATTATTTTCTTGTTGGCATCTCATTATTTTCTTGTTGGCATCTCATAAAAAGAACTGTGAAAAATTTTATAATTTTTTCTTTCTTTTTTTTTCCTAGTATGCTCTGTACTAGAGTTGAACATTTTCTGCCTTATTTACATTTTGTTTTGTTAAAATAATGCTCGCAAGTCAAACATAATTTTCCTTTCCTTTGTTTCCAAGATTATTTTCTCAATTAAGATGTATTCAGACGGTTTTGACTCGTGGAAATTAAATCAGCAGATTTTTATGACCAATCTATACTGCAATATCCACAATCCAAAAGTGGGTGTCAATGTCAGTAATGAGATTAAAAATATTCTCTATTTTTTTTTATCTAATTTTGAATTTTTGCAGAAGATTTTTTAATAAAGCAAATCCCAAAGTTTCACTGGCACAGGTATGGTTTAAACTTTAGCTGTAGCCTAAGACACCAACTTCATAATTTCATTTTTGAAGCTTAAAATTTGTCAAAGAATCTGAAAATGTATTGTTTTTTCACACAGCTGTCCTCTTTGTGTTGTGTGAACTTGCAGACTAGACAATATAAAGCAGATTAGAGTAAATATGTAAAATTTCAAAGTGCATTTGCACGTTGTGGAAATGCAGTATAACATGGTGCAGCATTGAGAGCGACAACTTCTACAAACAAAGGACATTAGCAGCATAGTAGCCTACAGCATATTGAAGCTTTTAAAGTCCGATCAATAAATGGCTTTTTTTCATTGATCACAATAAAATCTAACCATCAGAGGGAGAACGTATGCCAACATTGACGTATGAATTATTAGGTGTCAGGAGCTGATTTTAAGGGTAAGAGAATTTATGTCCAAATTTCTAAAACTAAAACGTTATTTTGCAAATTACCAGAATATGTCTGTTTTTGAAGCCAAGAGGAATTTGTAACTGATATTGATGAATGTACTTTTTCCTCAGTATTCAAAGTTAAAGATGACTTTACACTGAATAACACAACTTGCCCCAACCCATTTTGTACAGTGGAAATATGATTGATGTTCATAGATTAAATGGGGAAAGCTGAAAAATATTATGTTGTTTAAAAATTACTGTTTGACAAATATAACAAAATATATACAAATGTCAGGGTGCTTTTAAAATAAAAGAACATATAGAGAATGAAACAGTTACTTAATAGAAAAGAACAAAACAAAGCAAATCCTTTAAAAATAAAAAGTAAACAACAAACTTTTATTTGTTTTATGTGTGTTTTATGTAAGAAACACACATAACGCTTTTATTAGAGCTTTATGTAGCATGCATTTATCCCAACTTAATATAATTGTCGGGAATTACCATAGTTAACAGTAGCTATTTATCTTTAAAAAAATTAGGTTACTGATTTCTTAGTTGTATGAAGATTACAATAATGATTATGTAGTCACCAAAGTCCACTGACTGACAAGTTTTCATAATAAAATTGAATGTGCTCCAACTTAAATGTGGTATTTTCCAAGATTACTGACAGCCGAAAATAACACAATAACAAAACTCTATTTCCCATGTAAACCTGCCGCCTGGTTACCCTTTAACCTCTCCAAACGATCCAATCATAGCCCAAGTCAGCCTGGAAGTAGTTAAAGCACACTGCACCGACAGACGGCTGTGTTGAGCCAATAAAAGCAGGGAGTCAGTGGAAGTTGCCCAATCACAGGCGAAAGGGGCGGGATCGTGGCCGCCAGGGCATCCGAGGAGGAGGAGGTGTTCCTGGTAGCCATCTTGGATGTGCGGGGTGATTGTTTAGCGAGAAGAATTGACAAATTTATTTTAAAAACCAAGCCTTAATATTGAAGTGCTGAGGATTAGTTGGAGCTTACCGACAGAGGAACTCAATCTCAACACGGAAAAACGCAGGTAAATTAGAAGCAGAAGTTGAGGAATATGGTTTTAGGTGCCTTCTCTGCTCCTCTTTCCCGTTTCCAAACTGAGTCTCCCACATCAAACAGCGCAGCCGGTGGGAAGCTGCTGGTCTCACTGACTAACAACAACTTAGACTCAGTGTTGTTGCTTTTAAAGCAGAAAACTTGAACTTATTCCGGAAGTGCGCGGGAGAAATACGAACTTGAGTTTGTTTTGGAAGTGTGTTCGCTCCGAGGCTGCTGTTGGCGCTGGTGATGCCCGCATTGTTTATAAACATCCAGGGCTAGCAAACGCTTTTTTTGCCCCGCTTATGAAATCAGGCGATGCACTTTTTGGTTGTGCAAGTCCGCAGAGAGGAGCAGCTTTTTAATACCTGAATAGTTGTTAAATATGGAGGTCAGGTTGTGTTTAGACTCAGCAGGTGAGTGAATGTGTGTTTCCAGGACAGTGGTTTGCACCTGCTTGAAAAAAAGTTAACTCAAAGTCAACACGACGTGCTTCAGGCTAATGCTGACCTTGTTTAAAAACTAAAGCGAGCTGCGAATTGGGCTGTTTATGAAAACAACTCCAATGTAATGTAGACAACAATGTCTTTATCAATTATGTAGAGATACAAATGCATATTCCACAGACACTTTATTACACACTAAAACTTGTAAGCATCTGCATTGGGAACCATGCTACTTCAGGTAGAACAAAAACTGTAGTTCAGAAACATATTTGTAAATCCCACTTTATGCAAAACATAATTTATAAATAAGTAATTTTTGCAGACTGGAACATTTCTTCTGATGACATTTACAAAAAATGGTGTATTGGTTGCTTTTTCTCGCTGTCAGACTCACAAATCCAGCAGCTGTGTTTCTACTGGACAACTTTCATGCATAGTTCAGTGTGATATTTTAGAATAAAAATGTGAAATATTTCCAAAAGGTTTAATTTATAAAAGAAATTCAACCATAGGTGTGGTTTAGCAAAAGTTTTCTATGTTTAGAAGCTTTGGCGTACTTCATTTGGAGATCAGCATGTGTTTATTCTTTAGATTTATTTACACTTTTTTGTTATGTAGGGAAAGTGATTAATGCATTAAACTAGCTTCCAAATATTTTATCATATCAAGCAAATAAAAAGCTCTATAAATTCCTATTTCTACATCCTGTGTTTGTCTCCTCGACTCCCCATATCTCACCGCCTCCTATCAGATGTGAGAACAGAGCAGTAAAGGACAACCACTTCACATTCTGAGCAGTTTTTGTAACCATTGTTGTCCACTGTCGCTCCTGCGTCAAGCAGTCGCTTCTCTCTCCAGGTGCCAATTAGACATTAAGGAATGCTTTTATAATATATAGCTGATATTAGTGA